TAATGTCTTCCTCAGTAGTGCTCTTTCCAAATAGTTTAGGAACTTTGCAGGTTTTCATTTTTGCTGCAGCAGCTGGGGTTTGCCGCTGCTTGCCCTTGTGCTGCGGTTTCTCTGGCTGTCTTGGTGGTAAACTCTTTGGAGGAAGAGCGGAGCTTACGTTTCATGAGTGTGCATGTGTGTGTATGAAGACGTGCATGCCCACACACATAAGTCGGGGCCAAGAAAACTGAAGTCTGGAGTTATGAATAGCACACAGAAAATGGTGGCTAAATAATCAAGCATTCCAAATTTACCCTTGAGATTTTTTGGTTTTGTTTTGAATGCTAGAGGCTCTGGGCGACTGTCTGGGCTGTGAGTTACTTGGAATTCGCTTGGCTGCAAAGGCATGTGCAGGATGAAATTCTAAATCACATGGATTTATTCCTCGGGGAGACATCACTAGTTATGGGAGCGCCTCAGTGGTAGGCTTTTTTATGGGTCGGAAAGCACGAAGCTAGCCCAGTAACCAGAAAGGAAAAGATTTACACCCACAGCCGCCTGTGCCCAGCACTGGTGAAAGGCGTTCAAGATTCTCTTTCATTAAATAGTCCCTCTTTGTTATGTATCAAAGACAGAGTTCTTCTCAGCACATTGTGTACTTCTTGGACTCAGGAGTCCTCACTCTTACTTTTGTGTCTAGTAGCTGACCATGCTGTCCAGCTGTTCAAAGAGAGGCACTCAATAGCTTAACTGAATTTGAAATATGAAGTGGTTTTGTTTGAGAATTTTTTTTGCTTACACCTTGATGATGCTGGTTTTGAATAAAAAAATCACCTGATGGTGGAAAATCCTGAGTGATGCCTTGTGTAATTTATACCCCCTAGTCAACCCCTTTCAGCCTCCTGTCACATCGATTTGTGATTTCTCTGTGAATATATTAAAGTTCACTGAATAATAATTAACAAAAAATCATAAATACAGGTCTGTGGATCCTTTAATTAGAGGGAAATGCTCTTTGTTAGCAAGCTACCAAGATTTCTTCTATTTCAACCTATTTCCCTCCAAATGGAGATGTCAACTGTGCCGAATTCATAACAAGAATAAACAAACAAACATAACCTGCAACTTACGAGCAACGGCTGCATTCAGCGTGTTTTCAAATGAGCACGTTTTCTTTGATAATATCTGTTAACCAGCTATATTTCTTAATTTTCATAAATGCCACAGCTTAATCATTTTAACTCCTTTTAATCATCTGCTAAATCAGCAAGTCTACCTTTCTTGGTTAAAGTGCGCCCTCGTGTGGTTGGCGCTCAAGGTGCAAGGGTTTCTGTCCACTGAATTTACGCGTCAATGTCTTTGGGCTGCAGAGGCGCTGGAGGGGGGGCTTTCTAAAGCATTTGAATAAATTTCACCTTTAAGTGAAACCTTTTAAGCAGTGAAAGTGGTATCACGGAGAAAGGCAGGAAGAAATGTTTGGAATTCCCTTTAGGATCTACAAAACAAGCAGGGTAATTACCTCCCTCCGCTGCTCACAGCTTCGCCGCCTCGCTGGTAAGTTACTGGAACGTCACAAAAACAAGAAGGAAGAGTTAGTGGTCACGTTTCCATCCCAAAAACCATTACACTCATGAGCATCTTCCTAAAATGGATTTTTTCCTTGTTCACAAGCTACTTAAAAGCTTTGTAAAAGTTATTACAGGTCATAGCAGATTTCTGATTAAACTCTACTTTTTAAAGACTTTTAAAAGAATGAAACACACATCACTCTTATTTTCTTAGCGTCCCAAGGATACTGAGAAAAATAAAACGGATGTGCACCAGCACACCCTTGCTGACTGTGTCATCTACTTCTGCATTTGCTTCATCATAAATTTCTATCTTAAATTCTAATTATATCATGCAATTTCATGATTCGTTGTATATAACCTTAAATTCAGGAAAAATAGCTTGTTTTCCTAGAAAACAAGGACCAGTAAAACAAAGATAAATGTTAAAATAAACTTTCATTGCACACACAAGATTTATGTCAAGTACTGACCATCAATTCCTGTAACCCATTCCTTTCTTGGGGCTGGTGGGATTCCCTTCTCATTGTATGTTCATCAGATGTACGTACATGGTGGACATATATTTTAATGCCTTTGAAAGCATTTTCAGTTCAGTACATTTTGGATATAAAATTATAAGAACAAAAATCGACTTGTACATTGTAGGCAAGGGGTGAAGGAGATTAGCTTTTTTAATTTTTTTTTTAAATACAGACACATTTTCCAAAAAGAAATGTGTTTTTAGAAGCTGCCAGATTCTGCTACTTAGAGAAAGTCCACACTGGGAGCCTGCTGGGATGAGATAACTACTCCTAGGGCTGCCAGGGATGGGATTAGGACCGGAGGCAGGCTACAGGTCCACCACTGGCCAGAGGCGGTGGGAAGGCAGAGGACCTGCCCTGAAAAGAGTGCGATCCCTCAGGACAGCGAGGACTCTCACTCGGAAACAATGAACTTTTACTTATCACATATGCTGGACACTTTGGTTACCTTTAAAATATTGATTCTTTCTGTTGGAAACCCCAAAAGCTCATGTTAGGGGGGAAAATGCATGCCAGGTATGAAATAATTGCTAAGATGATTAGCACGTTAAACCACGCCCAGGGTAGCAGCCTTGTGACTATTTCACGGGAAACATGCGAACAAGGCCAGGTGCAACATGGAGTGCAGAGTAGACACCTGCCCCGAGCAGGAGAAAGCCACGCCAACCATCTGCACTGCAGGTACATGCCCAGGAGTATCAGACTGAGTGAACCAAGTATTATATTGCATTTCAGTTTTATCCCCCAGTTTCTGCTGAAAATGGACTAAAACCAGAAACACAATCATATCACACATGCCAACCTAACAAAGGGAGGGGGAGGGGAAGTGCAAATATATACCTGTTGGTGTGAAGGTAAAGGACGGGACTGAAAAATCAAAACAAAATATAAACCAGTTATTAAGCTGAAGGAAGAAAGGGAACATATCACATTAGTATAAATCAAGCAGACAGCTGAACATAAAACAAATGTAAATAACCAAGTCAGGAGGTCTGACACTCTGATATATGAATAAAACCAAATCTGAGGTTGAAAAAAGAAAAAAGAAAAAGCTTGTCCCTACAGGTACCATGTTGAAGTGCCTGACATTCTCGTCCGCTCAGAAGGGGACTGTCTGGGTTAGCCCGGGAATGACCCTGCATTTAGTAACAGATTTAGCTCTCGGCTTCAGTACAAACAGGAGTGCTCTAACATCAGTCATCGCCAAACACTGGCTGATGGATTCTTAAACAAGTATTATCAAGGTTTTGCTGCAGCCTTATCTAGAAATCTGAAAGTAAATGCTTACGAAATGGACACATAGATGCACTTTGGTATTCATGATTGGAAGGGAGGAGGGAGAGGAGAGAAAGAAGAAAGGATGGAGGATGGGAGGGAAAGAGAAAGAAAAAAGGAAAGAACAATACTGAAACAAAGAGAATCATAAAAATCAAGCTGTTTCCCTGACAAGAAACACCTGACATCTCAGAAAAACAGCCTAACACTACATTTTTATCATCCTAAAAATTTGCAAACAGAAAAAGTAGGGTGTTTTTGACTTTGATCTCTCTGGCATTGTTTACATTTAGAAGCTTTCTAGGAGTAGGCTGAGCATTTTTTAGTGCCATGCTGGAAGCTAAACAATAGAACAAAAACTCCCCTCTGAGAACCTTCACTCGGCAGTTATAAATCTTAATCTAATCAATAATGCCTGAAATTGAACTGTAGCCCTCCAAAGTAGCAGGCTGGCCTCACCCGCCTGCCTTTCCCACCCGCACCCTTTCCCAGTGCGGGATAACACCAGAGCAATTTCCTTGCCACTTCATAGAAGGAGAAGACTGGGTTATTATCAAATCTCTTCTCATTCATTTAAAGTAAACGCTGCTCTGGGAAAGAAAGCATGGAATCGCCACCACCCCTTGTACGGTAAAGCTTGCTTTAGAAAAAAATATTTAAGATGAACAAACTGAAGTATTGATTACTTGTCCTGCATCAAAGGGCTGCCCAAAATGGATCTTCCCTTCGAGCACTGATAAGGAATTTACTTTAGGATTCGAGCTCTGGGGATGGGAGGGTGGGACCAGGCAGCATCCCCTACAAGCGTCATTTCTGAACAACCCAGGCTTCCTCTGCGCCTCCCAGCAAGAACAACAGCAGAAACCTCAGTGTTGCACCCAGTTTGTATATTAGCCTTCCCTGGCAGAAGTTTCAAAATTTGTGTGTGTGTGTGTGTGTGTGTGTGTGTGTGTGTGTGTGTGTGTGTGT